GCCCCAACCCAAAACCCAAACCCCACCCTGGACCCAAAACACCCCCCCCCCCCCCCAACACACTCACCAGCCTCTCCCTTCTGCACTCTCATGTCTGAAGGTAATCCCGTGGTTCGGGATGACCAGATTGAGCACCTGGCAAGCTTGACTGGCCTCGATCCTGCCCAGGTATGTCGTCCTGTATACTGTACACACACAGCACATGGAAGCTTCCAGAGCTGCCTGCCATTCAACTAATTCTCTCCAACTGATCCTGATTCTCTCCTACAGGCTGAACGCTACCTCAACGCCTCCAACGGTGACATAACCCTCGCTGCTGCTCTCTTCTTTGACGAATCCGCCGAACAGGCAGAGGGCGACTCAGACGAAGACGTAGAAATGGCCGGTGGCAATCAGCCCGCGGATTCCCATTCCTCCAACCCCAATGCGCCCCAACAGCCAGCAGCCGGCGGTGGTCGTACCCTTGGTGGTGCATATGTGCCCCCTGCGGCAGCCTCGTCTTCCTCCTCATCCTCACAACCGGCCGCTGCCAGAAGACAAGCGCCACAGCGGGGTCTCCGGACACTCAAGGACCTGCAGTCGGGTGGCGGGGGTGGACCTGCTCGCAACCACTCTTCCGATGACGACGATGCTGAAAAGGACGATGAGAACCAGGACTTCTTTGCTGGCGGTGAGAAGTCAGGCCTCGCTGTGCAGAATCCCAACGCAGCCAACCCGCGCGACCAGATCAACAACATCTTGAAGCGCGCGCGACAGTAGGCTCCCACTTGAAGCGATTCTTCGCCACCATCTCTACAACAGTAACTGACCGAGATGCAGAAATGCCCCACGTCCCGGCGGTGACGACGAGCAGCCCAGGTCGCACTTCCGCGGCGCAGGCACTACCCTGGGTGGCGACGATGCTCCCTCTCGTACCATTCCTGATCCAACGGCCAACATCCCCGCCCCGCCCCCGCGCGCTCACCGTGAACTGCACCTCTGGCGCGACGGCTTCTCTGTCGACGATGGCGCCCTCTTCCGCTACGACGACCCAGCCAACGCTCGTACCCTCGAGATGATCAACACCGGTCACGCCCCACTACACATCCTCAACGTCGAGCACGGCCAGGAAGTCGACGTCGAGGTACACGCGCACAAGGACGAGGACTACAAGCAGCCAAAGAAGAAGTATGTTCCCTTTTCGGGATCGGGAAATCGGCTCGGCAGCCCGACTCCCGCTGCCAGTGGTAGTGCAGCGGCTGCTCCCAGCGCGGCTGTCACCTCGTCTTCATCGGCTTCAGCGTCCGCTGCATCTGCGCAACCGACGGTGCATGTCGATGACTCGATTCCCACACTGATGCTCCAGATCCGTCTGGGTGACGGTACACGGTTACAGAGTCGCTTCAACACTACACACACCATTGGCGACGTCTACGACTTTGTCACACGGTCCAGTGCGGAGAGCCAGCAGCGCGAATACGCGCTCATGACGACATTTCCCTCCAAGGAACTCACGGACAAGAATCAGGTCTTGGGAGACATGGCCGAATTCAAGCGCGGAGGCGTGGTGGTGCAAAAATGGAAATGAAAAGTGGATCCCGTATCCTTTTCACAAGAATGAGGCACAGGTATCATGCACAGTAGCAGTAGTTCTGGCATTCGAGTGAGATTAGGATATCGTACATATGCGCAGTACTGCAGGCCCTCGATGGCGCATGATGACTGTACTGTGCCCTGCGTCCCTGGCCCTTTTCTTTTTCCTTCTTTTTTTTCTCTGCAATGTGAAACTCAACCGACGGAGCCCTTGCCCAAACAAAGAACAAGAAACCGTCTGTTGCCAGCCGGCCCGATTAGGCTTTTTTGTACATGCATGGATAAGGCGTCTTATCATGATTGCACTTGTGTTATGTAGGTACCCACAGGTCCATGGCACCAGCCTATATGAGGGAAGTTTCAATGGGAGCATGGAGATGGGGGACATTTGTAAGTTTTCTTCCAGGTCTTTCTATCCTTTACTTCACTCGAACGAAGTTCAGGAGGGCATAAAAGTCTGGGTTGGTAGGGCAGGTCTAGCGAATGTTTGTAGACGCTGTGCTAATCTTGGCATGCATGGACGCATGTATTCCAAGGTTACATCATGTTGAGGCTATACAGGTGGTCGGGTTATACAGTCTACTACCCACATGCGTGGCATTTGCAGCAGGTAAAATGCAGTCACTGCTATGATTATCTTATCCGTGGATACCGGTAATGCTTTGGCGCTTTTACCATATTACCTACTTTGCACACATGTACGGAGTATATCCGCCATCCTCGTGAGTCGTGTCCAGAGCAAAATCGCCACTTGGCGTACGTATTGTGGATTTGTGTTCTGTCGTATTGGGTTTGTGCGGTAGAGTATTGGGAGAGTATGGTAGATTTACAATAGAGTTCGCTTGGGTTTCCTCGCCCGTGTTTATGTGCAGGAGAATGAGGGACGGGGGGGACTGGAGTCGGTAGTTGAGAGAATCGTGTCTTCTAAAGCACCATGGCATGTTTAACTAGACTGGAATAGGCATAGCGGTCTGTAATCTCATCAGTTTACTTTGCTGGTGGGCAGCTTCATCATCCCACATGATCCAATCTGTCAGGCTATGCTATCATACTGGGTACATATTGTACAACTCAAATCAAGAGGAACACGCTAACGAGCAGACCCAGGATGGAATACCGGTACAGCTGCTGAACCGCTTCATGATCGACAAGGCAACATTCTGAAATAGTAGCCAACAAACAAGGTAGAACACAACCTTGGGCCCCCCGTCCCGACAGGCACCTTCCGCGGACAAGAGAAGGATATCTGAGATCTTGGAATCGCACAGACGATCCGAAACCTCCGAAACCAGGGGTAAAGCAGTGAGGTTCTGTTGCATGGCACAATAAGCACAAGACAGATCGCCGCTACAGATACGGGGGTGACGTGACAACTCCAGGATGGACAGGAAATGCACGTTGCATTTTATCCTGCGGAAAATTTATAATATGGGGCGATTTATGGTAGGTACCACTCTATCAGTACGCCGTGAGAGTTGATAACTTATCCGCATACTGCCACAACACAGTTGGGATGATCAACAGATACGATGACTCCACTGAACTATACGTCATCAACCACATCCTAGGAACACTAGTAACAGTCTCGAGTGCCTACAGCCCTTGGGATGCTTTGAAATGCGAAATCTTCTCACACGTTTCAATGCTTTCTTCAAAGGGATCCGCCTCGATTGTTATCCAGGCGAGACCCGCGTCAGGCAGGAGAGTCCCAGGTGCAAGACCAACTCCATCAGCCCTTCACTGAACCAAAGCAAGACATCTTCCACTCCCGTCCAAAACGGGATAAACATCTTAAGAGGAACAGGAGTAAGGAACGGGCCCCACAACCCTGCCTACCAAACAGGCTCCTCTTGCATGTAGAAAAGAGAAAACAAGCCCACCACCCCTTCCCAACCGCAGCCCCGTTCCACGCCTTCCTACTCAATGGAACTAATTTCCCTCCCTTTAGATCCCGCGAGGTTCGACGTTTGCTGATACCAAGGCGAGTCTATGCCAAGGCTGATCATCAGACGGCAATGACGCACGCTGATTTATATCCGCTTACATATTATATCCCCGGTCATCCGCTTACATATTATATCCCCGGTCATCCGCTTACATATTATATCCCCGGTCCAGAGCGCGAACATGCATGCTACACATATCCTCCCCCCCAGAGTTCTAGACTCTGTGGACTTGAGGAAACGCGAGGGGTCGTTACGTCGTTACCCGGGTCACTGGGGCCCATTTGCTAATGTGTGCAGAGTCGTTTGTTTCTGTAATAGCCGGGATGAGGGTTGTGTGTAGCCGTGTATCTGCCTGAGAATGAGTATGCGGGGTAATTGTTGTTTGTGATTAGGCGGGGGATGGTGTACCGGTTGATAGTTGCGCAGAGCTACTATACTGGCATACTACGCGTAGCTATTCCACATGGTCCAGACATCCCGAGCGCTTAGCCGCTGCGATGCAGATTGGAAGAGTGCACTGTGGCTATGTAAACGTAGTTATTGTAGCATGGATGGGAGCCATGATGGAGGTGTTGCGAGTGTTTCCCGTTCTGTAGACTTACTTGCCTTTGGGGGAGGAGGCTGGGAGCTGCTACTTGCAACATGTAAGCCCTAGCACGTGGGAGGCATGTTGGTTGGGATCGGCAATGCGCGTTACCTACTTGTCATGTACCGGTATGTCTTTGCCACGGTCTGTCCTACTGTCTATGTGTTCACTGATATTACATACTATTTTGGGGGGGGGGGGGGGCTGCCTGGCGTGGTGAGAGTCGTTCAGCCTACATGTTATGACTGCCGCAGAATCATTCACTCTAATATAATTAATATACTCTTGCAGATAAAAAAAACTCCACCATCAGATGTGGCACCGAGGAAACGGTGTGCAGATACCGGATCATCGCAATGACGAAGGACCAATTCTCGGCAGTTTCGCCGTCTTATCTTAGTCTTGTTTATTGCGTGCATAGGCATTCGGATTCGCATCGGCATGGGAACTTGTCCCATCGCTGGCAGCGTCAGCGCTGGTTCCTGGCACTACTGCGGGAATACTGTGGTCCCTTACCTATATAGGTCAACTACTTGTCGTGCAGACGCTAAACTAGGTACTTGTGTAATGTAGATGCACATGGGAAGGTCCTTGAACCCATCTTCATCAGCGCCATCCTCCTACGTCTGTTCCCGTACAGAGGGAAAAGGAACATGCCATGGGACCCGGTAATTGCCATATTAAACCGACGCTTTTGGCGTACGTATGTGTTGTGTATTGTGCCATCCTACAGGATCCGAACTCTACGGTAGATGTGGTGTGGGAGCAGGGAAAAATTCACAGAGGATGGGATATCGTGGCAGTAGGGTTCAGGAATATTCTTCTCGTGTTTAAACACAAAGTATGCATAATATAGAGTACATTTCACCCTCTCCATCTGCATCTACATATATACACGCCGCAATAAGCTTCGGTGTCAACTTCGCAATCGCAGTCTCTCCCACACGCATCCCTGCATACACACGCCGCCGCGCCCCCGTCGATCCTGCAACTTGGGCCGCTCCACTTTCCCTTTTCCTTCCTTGACCTTCCCTAGGGGGCATCCCTGGACCTTCTCCCTTCGATAAATGAAGACGTTCCACGATCCCTGCCTGCTCAAACGCTTGGCCCATGGTTTTGTTTCACAAGAACAAGAGGGTGCTCTGTGTATAGATGGGTATATGGCGGAAGTATGGACTGTGGACATGGACTAAGAAAAGAGGATTCGCTCAGGAATGGGCCCTGGTTGTTTGGCGACTCGCGTTGGATGTATGGCAGGTAGGCGCTGGGAGGTGAGTTTGATGGGGAAACTGGGTGCGAGATAAAAGGCAAAAGACTGTATAGGTGGAATAGAGAGTGATTGTTCTGGGAAGGTATTCCTGGAGGTGGTAGTGTCACCGTTACTATTGCTGTCGTTTTACTACCGGTATGGCAAGCCCTAGAGAAGGGAGAAGGGCGAGGAATCGAGTAGGAAGACAAGTGCTATACATGTTTCTAAATGAACTTGTTTGATTATATACTGTGTACAAAAAAAAAGACTTCCGCTATCCAGAGGTGTGATTTTAGTGGTGTTGGGGAGGGGGGTTCCTCTAACGGACGCATGTACACTAGTGGTTAACCTAAGTTGACTACAAGTCAATCTTCTCCCGGTTTCACGATTAACCAAGAGCGGTCCCGGGGGCGCTCGAACAAGCACCCCCGCCGTTAGATGAGACGACGAAACGCAGCAGGACAGAATGATCGACGGGAATTGAAATGAGGCGGCGTACGCGTCCTTTTGTAAGCCTAGTCATGGGCGCACGGGAGCCGTTCGGTCTGGCATGCGGGAAGGAAGACACCTACCCACCGGGGTAATTGAGGCTCTTTTTTTTGTGACTTGGGGGTCCCGGAGAACAGGGTTTGTCTGCAGTGTTATTGGGGGGTTCTTGAGAGTGAGAGGCGGCGGCGGCCTCTTCGGGCATTCGATAAGGTGATGATGGGATGGGATCGTGGCGGGGGTTATGGGTATGGGTAATATATGGTATGCTGATCGAATTCATTTGCGCAATTCGTTCGATCCCCTTCGCTTTGCTTTCCCGTGGGATTCGTTTTTGGGACATGCTCGCTCTTCCGCACGTTCTTCTTCTTTCTTTCTAACACACTCACATACGACTACACACGCGTACGCTCCTTTCGCTTTGCAGACGCTGTCGTCGCTGAATCCCGTACCTGGGAAGCTTGCAAACTACGGAACGGTACTTGTACTTGTACTCCACTCCACTCCACTCTACTCTACTCACTCCATCCTACCATTATTGTATCTTGTGGTTGCATTACAGGACTGGTTCCCCACGGCAACTCATATACAGCTGTCCATCGAACCGAAAGACTGGTCCTGGATTGCGACACCTCCAAGACTTCACATTCATTCAACACACCGCCCCTTGACGCCGCGAGGATACTGAGTTTGCGAAACGATGCTGCATTATTGCTATCAATAAAACGAAGGAGAGTATATACTACTACACGCCGCGTACACCCGTGTATATACACGACGCTACAAGACGCGGGCGGGACCGACCCACACCTACACGAATACGAATAACACCCTCACACGAACGCCATACGCACATCACATCGCCCACCATGTTGGTACGAATGCGCCGACGTTTCGTACTTTTATCTTTCTGTGTTGCTTCTTTCTTCATATTTGCGCTTTTGAAACAAAGTCCTTGGGCACAGGGCCAAGTCTACGAGAGACTGCCGTTGTTCAAACTAAGAGATGAATCGAGAACGTCGCCAGACCAGGCCGTCTTAGTGTCGACGGAGAGCGGGACGACGGGTACGAATGAAAACGAGAAGAAGCCTAGTCACAAAGACGACTTCGAGGATGCGTGGCAGCATGCTGTACCTGTTCCGCTACCGAAAGCGAAACCAAGTACGCCACATGCGAAGCTACCACAGCCAGCTGTAACTACGAAGCCTGAGAAGGCAGGAAGCAGCAAGCTGCCGCCTCCGCCGTGGGTGACGGCGCCTTCGAGAACAGCAGAGTTTATCCCTCCTACTGCACAGCCGACAAATCTAAAGGAGTATATGTTGTCGATGCTCAAGTGGGATCGTCCAACCTGGGAGGGACATTGGCCTCCGTTTTCGGATTACATTAACAAAGGTTATGATCCGAACCGGTGGGAGCAGTTTCCCATGTAAGTCACATAGAAAAAGAGTTGACGTTCATCGAGTGCTGACCTGAGTAGGGACGAGCGCATGTACGAGTCGACGCACAAGAAGCTAAACAGATCGATTGCTTCGGATCCAGTCGCATACAAGCCGTTCCCCGAGTATAACTCCCCTGCTTGGAAGAAGAAGTGGAAAGGCGAGTATCAGGCCTGCCTGGGACCGCGAGGCGTTGCTCTCAATGAGAGCACAGACGACGAAACACAAGTGTACCTTGGTGTTCCACCCGATCTCCCACCGGTCTACGCTGGAGGATATGAAGTTGTTGGCTTGGATGATGATGTTTGCTTCGATCGATACTCACGATATGGTCCGTACGGTTTTGGAGATGAAGAGTTCCCCGAATTTGTCAAGGATTGGAAAGCGCCAAAGACCATCCCAGAATGGTCTGAGGTGAAATGGGGCACACTCCAGAACGACTGCCTGGAACGCAATAGGGGCCGTTACAGACCGGATACAAAGAGCTCGGTTAGCAAGATCCCAAGTACAACGCTGCCGGCGCCTGCAGCAGCAGCATCGGCGTTTTCCAAGTCACCGGACACAAGCGCCAGCAACCTGGAAACCAGAGGATCAAATGAGCAAAAGTATCACCATCGCACCGCGGTACTGATTCGAGCCTGGACAGGCTACCACTACGAAGAAAACGACATCACAGCGATCCGCGCCATGATTTCGGAACTCTCGCTCCAGTCTGGGGGAGAATACCAAGTCTACCTCTTCGTTCACGTCAAAGATAAGGATATCCCCATATTCGAGAATGAAGCCGTATACAACCGCATCCTCAAGGAAAACGTGCCCGAAGAGCTACAAGATATTGCCATACTCTGGTCAGAATCCATTTTCCCCAACTGGTATCCCAAAGTAGGTGACTGGCAGGTCTACTGGCAACAATTCATGTGTCTGCAATGGTTCAGTCTGACGCACCCCGAATTCGATTACATCTGGAACTGGGAAACGGACGCCCGCTACACAGGCCACCACTACCACTTCTTCGAGAAGATCAGCGAATTCGCAGACAAACAGCCGCGAAAACTCCTCTGGGAACGCAACAAGCGCTACTACCTCCCCAGCATCCATGGCGATTACCAATCCTTCGTCGAAAACACGCACAAAGACGTCCTCAACGCCTCTGCAAATTCCCAGATCCCCCCTCCCGTCTGGGGCCCCCGCCCCTGGGCCCAAGCCGAGCCACCACAAAAGCCCATCGGTCCCACCCCCCCAACCTCTTTCGAAGAAGACAACTTTGAATGGGGCCGCAACGAGCCCGCCGACTTCATAACGCTGCTGCCCATGTGGGACCCGCGCAACACCTCATGGTCCTACAAGGACAAGATCTGGAACTATCTGCCCAACATACGGCCCATTTTCACGCCCGAGGACGGCCATGCCGATTGGTTCACGCACCCTGAATTCGCAAAGATGGACCGCCGCGTCTTCATCAACACCGTCGTCCGACTGAGCAAGCGCATGCTGCAGGCTATGCACGAGGAGAATCTCGTCGGCCGCAGCATGCAAGCGGAAATGTGGCCGTCGACGGTAGCGCTGCAGCATGGGCTCAAGGCTGTGTATGCACCGCACCCCATTTTCACCGATCGTCACTGGCCGGCCGGATACACCGAGGGCATCTTCGATACCGCGTACACGGTCGACGAGAGGACGGGCACAGCGTTGGAGCCCCGACAGGGAGCTTGGACCGAGCAGGCCGATAGTCCGTACAATCACGACCGAGAGTACAACTTCCAGGGCTGGAGTTGGTACTATGCCAGTCGGTTCCCGAGACAGTTGTATCGGCGGTGGTTGGGCTGGCCGATTATCAAACAAAAGTGGGGAGAGAGCGAGAAGCTGGATTCGGGGAATGATGGAGATAGGGAGGAGAGGAGGATGTGTTTGCCAGGTATGTTGCTGCATCCAGTGAAGAGGATGGGTAAGGAGACGGTTAAGCCGTAGGCTGGGTGTGTAACGTCTTTGGAAAACAAAAAGCGATCCTAGGAGAGTCATGTTGAGACGCATTTGCTAAATGGTGAATAAGGGATTACACCTATCTTGGCTCTCATCGTTGTATCTTCCTCTACTTTTTTTCTTCTCTTCTCTCCTTTTCGCCTTCTTCTACACCCTTACCATTTCTTTTCCTTTATGTCTCGGACTGTTGAAGTCTTCCGTAGCATTCTTTTGTGTGTTTTTTTCATAAAGTCTGTATATTCATCAGCATCATCATTCTCATGGCGTTATAAGGTAGCTACAGGGTCTCCCGTCCTCTCGAGATGGCTGGCGAGCTCGTATCGGGGAAATGTAGAGTAGACAATACGCATATCACGAAATCTTGCTAGATCAATTGTATTGCTGGGCATTGCTAGGTGGTGTTTTTGGTGAATAGCGTATGATATCTTGTGGCAAGGTGGTGGTGTGTTCATGACGCATAAGCTTTGTTTGTTGATTGAAGTTATGGTTATACCGCGAATTGTAACAGCCATAATTGACAAAATGAATTGTCGCAAACGATAAAGCTTGGGGTGATGCAGACTTTCATTACAAGGGTTATCCAGGCTAAGGTAGACTTGGTCAGTATACTTTGCAAGTACATAAGTCCTTAGCTTACACTGCGGCCCAAACAACTTCCAGGTTTATTAACATTAGTCCAATTTCATCATCTACCCACAACAAAACTAGCAACAACGCACTACATCAGCCAGTATTTAGCTTTATCATATATCTTGAGCCAATCCTAATTACCCCCTAAGGCCAAGATGAAGTACAGTTTCGAAGCTATTATAACAATTCAGAGCCTGCGCTAAGGAACTCGCTCTATGATGAACTATGAAGAGTGCGCTTAGGAGCACGAGAAGGCACTAAAGGAAACCAAGGTATTTGTAATATAATAATTGGCGATTCATCTATACAATTGTGCCACTCCCAGCATGCCCGCAAGCTGGAAACTACTCTAATCTGTACCTGGTATGTTATTAGGATAAGCAGAGCATTATTAGGCAAGCCTGGCAAACATGTGAGGTGGTCTTCTAGTTATACTAGTAATATAGAGTATTTGGCTGTGCTGGCACCACGCTTGAATTCTTCAAAACCCTCTTCGCAATTTAGCCCGTCAACACAAGATTTAACCTTAGAATAACTATTTGCTACCACAATGACGCAAGGGAATATTCGCCTCTAATGTAGGAATTATTGTGCCTTGCACTTTGTCTGTGTAATCTACATCCCAGGACTTATGTTGTGAAATGCTATTGAAAGATGTGTAAGTAAGGTAATGACCGGGCAGGATCTTTTGGACTCCTTCGAAAATGGTCCTACGGTCACATAGGTAGTCAACCGACTTCTTGATACTTTGAAACGAAGGCTGCCATCCAAAGGTTAAGAATGCCTTCATATCGGCAGCGATCTGGAAGTAACTTTAAGGATTAGCAATTCTGAATGATTTCTGACTCAAGCAGACTTTGTCAGGTGGGCTTAGCAGTAATTTGCCGTCCACAAGGGTGTAGTACATCAGTTTGACAGCATAACGATCACAAGCGGCAATGAACAAATATGCCGTTGAATTGTAAAGACACAATGAGAATTCTCTACGCAATTGCGATAGGAAGTATAGTCTATGCTCTTTTAAAATGACAAAGCGATTTTATAATTAGACTGCTCTTGAACGAACTTGTAATCGCCACGACTTAGTCGATCTCGAATCTCTTAGTAAATATGTAGTTTACAGTTAACCACAGCTTGAATACTATTGTCGAAGTTGTGAAATGGCTGCTAGCGCTCCTAATTTAAAACTACAATGGCGAGGCGGTTATGAGCAAGAGCTGTCCAGGGAAGTATGTCAGTCATGGGAGACGGATGCGCAAGTATGCAAATTCGGCATGCCAATTCGACAGTCATTGCTGATGTAGTGTCCATTGGCATCTGGCCCGCAATGTTTGGTGATATCCAAGCTTTCATTGAATGTCTTGCTCAATATGGTGCGACTCTGATGCAGGGGACTATGACCCCGCAATGCGACAGTACAAGTGATCCCGTACATAGGTACCTTTAACACTATGGTAAAAAATTGTTTACTATAGAATGGTACGCTAGGGGTTTACTATATAGGTGTAAACTGCCCTCGTGTATACCTGTAAATAGGTTTAAAATGGTGGTTTACTTTTATAGTAGGGGTTTAAATTAAGTATAAAAAGTAGTTTTATTTCTATTATACGCTATAATACCTAACTAAGACTAAAAGGGGCAGAGAAGATTAGCTTTATGCTATACGCACATATAACATAATAATAAGTCATGATATTTTTACTAATAGGAGGTGGTGATAGAGGTAGTGGAGGTGATAGAGGTAGTGGAGGTGATAGAGGTAGTGGAGGTGATAGAGGTGGTGGAGGTGGTGGTGATAGAGGTGGTGGAGGTGGTGGTGATAGAGGTGATGATAGAGGTGGTGATAGAGGTGGTGATAGAGGTGGTGATCGAGGTGGTGATAGACGTGGTGATAGAGGTGGTGATAGAGGTGGTGATAGAGGTGGTGGTGGTAGAGGTGGTGATAGAGGTGGTAGAGGTGGTAGTAGAGGTGGAGGTGGTGAAGAAGATTAAAGAAAGGAGGGGTAAAATACTTAAACAGTTAGTAGGAAACTAGTTATTACTACGTAATACTAGGAGATTACTAGAAGTAGAAATAAAAGTAGAATATATAGTATAGTAAACCCTATTTAGGTTTACTTCTTCTACCTAAACCACTTCATAGTCTACTTTAGATAAATATGGCTACTGTAAACCGGTTTTGTACCGTAGTGATACCTATCGCGCTCCCCTCAAATTCGATCAAAATGTTCAATGAAAGTCTTTCGTTAGCGTAATGATATTTATATGGGTGCAAAATACCATCATCCAGCCCGGTAAACCCCAAGATAAGGCACGACATGACAGGCTCTAAACATGCGTGGTGTTGTTATTTCGCGAGGACGATTCTGCCGGGAAAGTATGCTTCGTTGCGCCTTGAGTACTGTACCCCGAGAAAATGTATTGCAAGAGTTACTCAATTGAGATGACTCGTACCATGACTACGTACTGTCTACTCTATACTCTGGTTGTTCTCTTGTGTTGAGTGACGGCGTTCACTGTGCACACTGCGACGATGATACTGTCGCCTAATGGGAAGAGCCTCGTCTTACACGTAGGCTACTTGAAAAAAATGTTACATCCTCCGAGGGAAATAATATTCAGGTCTTCCATCGATATTCGTGACACAGGTTCGATTGTGTGCATGTTATGAAGCCATGGAAAAATGAAGGCCAAATCGAGACTATGAACTTTGATCCTACCTCGGAGCAACTCAATCCCTCCAGGATGTGGAGGCGATCATACAGAGCCTCAGAAATTCTTTCGCATCGAGATATCCGTGGGTCGAATTGAGGGTGTGGCGTACCCTACCATGTAGATGCCCTGCATGACACGTATTTAGTGTGTTAATTACCACTCTCAGTTCCTAGGGGAGTTGCCATCACGTAATGTCCATCGATTCTCTATTTCAAAGCTATAACCCTCTAAATGTATGTCTTCCTGCTTTTGAAGTGCATATAATGCGCTGTCACCTGGTTCACCAACGTCAAATTTGTCACTCCAATCCAATGTGAGACATCTTTGATACAGCACGATCGCCGTTGTGAGGATGCAAATATCACACGGTTCTGTTGTTGCAATCAATGTTTGTACAGACTGAGGAGCTTTCGTTCCTCTGAAAACATCTGTCTGATAGATCGTGTCTCTAGTCATGATGAGGTAGAGGTCGGGAACGTCAATGGCTAGTGCGGTGAAGGTAGCACAAAGGCATATATACGTATTCATGATCGACCGTGGATCTTCCTCACGATCAACATATGATATGTCGCTATCATGCTGTTCCGAAGTTCCTCTTCGCAATATTGTCGACATATGCAATACTCGGGTCGTGGCTGCGTATTTCATTGCCACCATTGCTCGATTCGGTGATCCGGACTATGCAGTAAGCATGCACCGTAGGCAAACTGCATGATGACGCGCGACGTGAAAAGCGACCCTTAGCTACAGAGACAACTTGCTCACTGTGTGGTCTGGGCGCGGTCCGCTTCACTAAAGTCTCTCGTACAATATTTCGTAGAGATGGGGAGTGCAACCTTGCGAGATCTTCTCTTCTACGAGCCATCATCCTACGTATATTACATAGCATGGGAACCCGTGGGTCACAGGTATTAGATCCACAGTCCCAACATTCAGCCTACTATCCGACTGCCAATCGTAAATCTCCGATGCAAGTGCTTCGGATACTGCGCCACCAAAGAAGCAGTTATCTTGCCCAAGCCAAACGGCCGGCAGACAAGAGCTGCACATCAGGATCTCGTGTGTACTTCTGGGCCAGTAAGATGCTGCAGAAAGCTGCGGATCATCCCAAAATCCCCGTCTGAAGAGGTACAATGTGGCCTGCCTCCATGTCTGGGAATGATGAGCGCAGCCACGCTGCGGAGCAAAAAGCCATGGACATGTGTTCCACAACAACATACCAGACGGATCGATATAGCCATGGTTTAGGGATTGAAGCGGATATAATTCTCAAACCATGTAGGATGACCCTTTCTGACACAGGAACAGTGCTATGGTGGAAGCTAAGAGGATTGAGAACTAGCCACACGCAACAACTGCTCGTTTGGGCTGTGTGCGTCCAAAGGCGTTCGAACTCGTCGCCCAAAGAGGCTTGATGTGGTGAGAGATGTTACAACAGCCTACGAACTGCGAAAACAAAACCTGAGCGCACGGTTTGTTCACCGTGCCGTAACGCATCACCACTTTGATGCTGTGGCTTATCATTCGAAGATAGGTATGCAGTCGAGTATACAAGGATAGGCATTTCGAGGCAGCTCGGCTCCCCGCAGGTTCGGTGCGCAGTAGGTAGGTAGGCATTCGTCGGATGGCCCATCACCACGGATACAGAACAGTAAAACCGAATACTGTGATTGAACATGACGACCAGTACCTAAGAGCCCGGGATCTATCGCTCGCTCATGATACTTGATGGCATGTGGCAGATACGCTACCTTGGTAGGTACAAAATGACCTTAATGGCTGTAGGTAGTACCATCACGGCCCGGAAAGCGACTATCACCAAACGAGACGCGTTCCCTATCTGGCCCCGATTGCGCATATAAGCATTGGCTTGTCCTACATACTTTGCTCCAGATTCTTTGCCGATAGGTTGTCCGTGAACTCTATGGACGTGCGCATGCAGCCCTGGGTGGAAGATCTGCAGCACGATCAGAATGTGTAATGCACACGTTACCGTGGCGTAGCGCAGTACAATATCTGGGTCACTATCAAGGCAGCGAAGACGGTCTCTACTGCGTATCATGAAGTCGTGTTTGATTGAGAGAAGAACATACCAGGAGCCGCAAGACACGTGGCCCGCCCAAAACTTACGTCAAGGCGGATTGTTGAGTTGGTCGCGCGGGTTTTGCAACACCAAAGACAGCGTTGTAACCCCACGCGAGGTATGCTTTTGTGCTCGTGGAGATCATATACCCCACTCAGATACATACGGGCACCTGCATAGAGATGGCGATTGGACCCTGAGCGATCTGTATAATGGCAGTGTCACGATGGTATCCTTGGTATTCTGTTGTGGCATATATACGAATACAGTGTATGCTCTATACCTCAGGTTCCTGAGAGATGATATAAAACGGCTACTCCAGACCCGCAAGTATAGATATCGCCGACCATGAACCTTCAACGTTCTCGTTCATCTACCCTCTATCAGATAGACAATATGGACTCTACACCACGTCTTGAGACTCCCGATGCAAATGCAGCCAGAAGAGAGAGCCTCGAGGCATCTGCGCATACAAGGTCTTTGAGCGATAGCTCTGAGATTGGCCGAAACCAAGAAGGAACTCCAAGCTCCATCTTCCTGCCTCGACCAGCATACCAGCGCCCTGAGTCGTACGGGCAAAAGTCACCGACCAACTGCACCCACTGTGGCAGCATTGCTCCACGTTTTGGGTCAACTACAATCTATGGCACACCATTGAAACATACTCCTGCTACAAGTACAGAGTTTCTAGACAAGTTCTCAAACTGCTACTCTTCTAGAGTGAGTACGATTCCACAAACACACAATCAGCCCAGGGATGATCTGACCATCATCTAGGCGACAAGCTTCATCCAAGCGCCCCAGGAGAAACAGCCAGAGATTGCAGCAGAGCCTCTCTGTCTAGTCGAGAGAGTTCATGGCACAGATGACATTGACCATCTGCCATCATGGAAGCGACGCGTCAACAAATTCACCCCAATTTTTTCCATTGCAGCTGTCGCTGCCTACTGGATCTACTTTGTATTCAGAATCAAGTATACTCTGGCGGCTCAGGAGAAGTACCACAAGGTCTTCGGTATGGCCTGGACCTTCATCTCCGTTGAGCTTGGTGTAGCCCGTAAGTTGATGTAGCAAAATTGTCCTGTATCCTCTAATCAGTTGATTAGTGCCTACCGTGTTCCACCAGTTCTGGCAGGTCTTTCTCATCAAAGGTCGATCACGCGAGAAGCTTCGAATTGTTGGAGATACCACACCCACTGTGGACGTATTCATCACGTGTTGCAAAGAAGAAGTCGCAATCATAACTGATACAGTCCGTGCAGCAGCAGCGGTCGACTGGCCTTCTGACCGGTTTCGAGTCATCATTCTTGATGATGGCGCTGATCAGGAACTCAAACGTGCGATTGAGGAGATTTCACAGTTGTACTCCAACGTCTATTACACTGCCCGTCAAAAGGTCAAGGGTGTTCCACATCACTTCAAAGCGGGAAACTTGAACCACGGTTTGGAGTTTGTCAAGGAGCTCCCAGGGGGTCCCTCAGCATACATTGCCGCACTCGACGCTGACATGATACCGGAGCCGGAATGGCTCAGAGCTGTTCTCGCTCACTTGGTCATTGAACCCCAGCTCGCCCTCTCCTGCCCACCTCAGGTATTTACTTCAGTGGCCGCCAAGTACTTGTTTCGCTGACCTGCATAGTTGTTCTACAACCTTCCCAGAAACGACCCTTTGCTCCAAAGTCTCGACTCATTCGTTCACATCTCCGAACCAGTGAAAGACGCAGCTGGCGTGGCAGTGAGTCCTGGTAATGATGGCCATATGAGGTTGTGCTGACAATGAAAAGTGGTGCACGGGATCAGGTTATGCAATCCGCCGGCTTGCCTTGGATGGAATTGGTGGATTTCCCACCGGCTCACTAGCTGAAGATGTTTGCTGCTCGAGTGTTCTTCTTGGGGCTGGATGGAAAACTGCATACGTCCATGAGCCATTGCAATATGGAACAGTGCCCGAGTCTTTTGGTGGCCATATCAAACAACGTACCCGCTGGGTAAGAAAGCATTCTTCAGAAATCGTTTGGCAAAAAGAAGACATTACTTACCATGTGGCAGACCATTGGCACAGTTCAAACCGCCTTGAAGCTGAACTTTTGCATTTGGGGACCGCTGGTTACGCACATGTCGCTGTTCCAGCGCCTTTCAGGTTTTGTCTATACCATTTCTGCGTTGTTCACAATCTTTCTTACGGCTTCGCTACTCACGATGCCAATTGTGCTGGTATCGGGCGGCACTTTGATCGCGTATGCCACCAACGACCAATTACGCCTGCTCGCGAGGCTATGCTCGGTTGCATTGCTCACAAATCGACTCAATGAGTGGGTGATGACGCTCCCTGCTGGTTATCGACTTGGACAGCGCGATGCAGGCGCCACGTTGTGGATGGCTCCATGTGGGTAGTACTATCCCGGTGTGGAGATTCCAACTAACAGCCATGATTAGACCATGCCATAACGATTGTCCGATCATTCCTCCTACCGAGTTTCCTCGGTGGCAAGGCCGCCGCCTTCTCCTCATCGGGTTCTCAAAAGAACGAGCTCAACGAGCGGGATCCCGTCCATCGTGCGGGTCTTTGGCGTCGCCTACGTGTCATAATTTTCGGCTCCGGAGTTTACATCCATGTCATCTACATACTCTTCTGCATTGCTGCGGTCACGGCATCTACAGCCCGCGGCATCATCATCAACAGAAATTCGGTTCTACAGACTCTTTTGTACATGATGACACATGCATGTTGGCCACCACTACTTTGGCTCATTGCACTCAATGCCTATTGGGCGCCGATCCACTACGCCATCTGGCCTCCGAACATGCCTGATCGCGAGGATTTGCTACAAAGAGACCCGCAGACTGGTATCGCCTATCCGAAAGAAAGCTCGAAGAAGTTGGAGTGGGAGAAGAGCAATGTGCTACACGAGATGCAGTATTTCTTGTTGACTGCATACACCATTGTGCTTTTTGTCGGCTCCTTCTTTTACTAAGATGACGAAAGCATAATCTGGTGACGCGCTCTTGTTACTCTTCAAGAGTGTAGAGATTTCGGTGTTAATGTTTAGTCCTATCCAGGACGTAGAAAGTACATAGATTGTCAATTTATACTCCTGTTTACAGCGATTTTACAGAGACTCTGCTTCCCCCTCTCGCCCCCAATACCTACTTGGGCCGTAATCCAATATGCAGCGCTTCAGCGTGTGCAGTCCCTCTTCGTAGCCTACCCGCACGCAGTCATCATGCTGTGCATCATCAAGTCGTGCATCATCGAACCAGGGATTCTCGTTGTGCCCCTCGTGCGTAACCACGAAGCCCAGACAGATATTTCTCGTCCGAGAGAAGTACGTACTTGATGCCGCAGTACAGCCATACGTCACTGATGCTGTACGTATACACGAGAAGGAGTGACTTGGCATATCCAACGCTACGGGGTAGATTGGCAAGAGTGCAAATCAGGCAACGAGTGAGGCAAAAATGGTAGTTGATATGAATAGATATTATGAGGTATCAAGGTGAAGAGCTCCTGTGCAGATTTGGTGGATTTCAAGCAGTTTTTGCTTGATTGTGTGTGCGTGTGCTGAGCTGTGCCACGTGACTGATGTTTGCGGGGGGATTGAGGAGGACAAAGGTGGTACAGAGGACTAAGGATTAGATACAAGAGTCCGGTAGATCAAAAGAAGGAGTACTACAAAGCATTTCACATACATCTCAGCTGCAAGATTGCCAAATACTATGCTATACAAAAAGAATGGTAAGAGTAGATTGATAAACTATCGGCACGAATCCTGCCATTTCGCGTCGGATGGAGCAAAGGACGAATCAGAAGAAATTGTTTCCAAGGAACAGAGGATAGGACTGAATATTGGCAAGTCATCAGTGTTGCTCAAGTCTCACAGAACAAAAAGCCCACACCGAGCTAACACAACATCACCATCCGCACCCAGGCCCAATCCAATCTTCATCCATGTAGATTCCCACCATCTCAATCACCTGCCCACTTTGCGTACAAGAAAAAGAATACATCCAACTATACAAGCACAACCATCCATCCAAAACCCCTTGGTCCCCTCTCAAGACGCACCAGGCGGAATCTCAGTCCACCCGCCATCCCTTCTCCAAACCCCCGCTCGCGTATAGTCTCCCCGCCCTCCAGCCTTCAGATACGCAAAGCGGAAATACTCATTCACGCCTTCCATCTTCTTGACCCACGTCCAGCTGGCACCCATTTCATCCGCATACTCATGGTACCGCTCTACATCATTGACCAGCACGCTGAGACCGTCGTAACCCTTCGGAAAGGGCTTGAGCCAGTCAAAGGTAATGTTCGCTCTGAGCGCGTCTATATCCAGATTGTTGTGGATAATGGGTGCGGTGATGATGGGTAGCAAAGAGCCAATGGGCGCATCGCCACGGAGGGCATCCGGGGTTTCCAGAATCGAGGCGAAGCCCCAGCGGGCGGTGCCGTTGATGAAGAGGCCGATGAGGATGCCTTGGAAGAGGAGACTGGGCCGGGTTTGCATGGATGTGCCGGGGACAAGAAGGAGGCCTAGGATGTAATGATGAAGACGTACGTTCATGTTGGGAATGGCGACGAGCGCAAGGATGCAGCCGACGAATGTTCCGTAGATGGCAAGGTAGCGGGGGAGCCGGCCCTCGACGCGGAGTGCCCATGCTTGGCCAAGCGCGATGAAGAATAGGGTGAGGACAACGATGATGAGCGCGGGGATGGCGCCGGGTTGGTTCTGGATGTCGTGGGGCGTTAGACGTTCAATGGGGATCTTGTCGAACGTGTAGTTGTTCAGAGCGCCGATCCAACATCCTCCGAGCCAAAGAATCGTTTTTTCCACTTGTGCGCGGAGACCTTGGAGTTGTCGTCGCACTGCGAACCTGTAGATTGCATACATGCAGAAACAGGCCGGTAGCAGACGGGCAAGGGCGATACTGATGACGGCGGAGTAGTCGGTCAGGTCTGGGGGATCCGAGGCAAGTGCGACGTGAAAGAAGACGGCGAGGAAGACGGACGAGAAGAAGACTGCTGGTGAAGTGGTGAAGAGTGACAAGAGGATGGTGAAGGTAAGAGATACGCCGAGCAGCGGCCATCTTAGGTCTCGACACTTGGTTGATGTACCGGGGACGAAGGAGAAGGATCGTGGAAAGTACGAGTCAAATCCAACGCTCGTGATGTGATGGCTGCTGACACTGGGGTAAGAAGTCTTTTCGCCCGTCTGCGCAACGACCCCACAGCCACCGGATGCATCGTTGATGAAGCCCGCGTGGATGGCTGCGCCGCATAGGAACGAGTCGGCGCGATAGTATGTCTTCTCCAAGGTGTGCTCCTCCTCGGTTGGGCCACCTATGACCAGTTGCCGGTAATTGATCAACTGATCTCCAACAGCATGTGGATTGAGCAATTGCTCACGCTTACAACTGGCCGGGCAGCGAAATGGCATCGATGTATTCTCAAATGGACGGCACAGATCTCCGTTGAGGCCACATCCATTTCCATCGGTCCAGAAGCGATCTGTACATCGGACGCGCACCGGGCTTCCATGTCCGGGTATATCTGCAGCGAATGCGCTGCGGTGGAGCACCAGTCCAAAGCTCAGAAGCCAACAGAAGTAGAAGAAGACCAACAGTCCGATCTTTTGTTTCCGCTTGGGAAAGTATCTCTCCAACCAATGCACGGGCGCTTCTTGGACGTTGGGAAAGAAGGGTTGTATCTTCCAAGGCCGCGGTGGCTGTGGGCCCTTGACCCAGACCACCACCTTTTTCCATTTCTGTTGCATGTGCGGTGGTATATAGTGGTTGACCGCCGAGTGTTCGGATGGATGAGCATGCTCGCCGGGAAGCTCGGAGTTGGCGACTAGCATGGCGGATTGGGTAGAGGGTAGGCTGGCATGGTCTTCGTCTTGGTCGTCGAGGTCATCGCGGTATCTTGGAGGGGGCGCACTGTCCTCTTCTACGTCATGGCTGGGAGCCATGTCCTCCTCGTAGATTGAGCGAAGCTCGTGACGGGAGGTTGACGACGACAGCTTGAAGGTGTAGGTAGATCGGCCACGGTAGAGATGGGCGGCAGTCTGACGGCTACGTATCGATGGACGTGCTTGTGTTACGAGGAACGATGCGCTACACTATGGCGCGCGCATATGCAAGATGAGATGAGCTGGATGATGAAGAAGAAGAAGAAGAAGAAGAAGAAGAAGAAGAAGAAGAAGAAGAAGAAGATGATGATGAAGAAGAAGAAGAAGAAGAAGAAGAAGAAGAAAGTCGATGGGGATCAATGTCCAAGGCTGCAAGTCGAGTGAATGAATTGTCTGTCTGTCCACGGTGCAGGAGCAAAAGCCATGTCTGGGACCTGCAGAAAAGAATGACGGGGGCGGGCGGGGTAAGACTTGGTGCGTCGTAGAGTAGAGTACGACAACCAAGGGCCAAGAGTAGAGTAAGAGTACTATAGAGTACTCTAGTCTCGCCGACGGCTTTGCTTTGGCGGCCCATCCTTGGACGCGAGCTGAACTTGGTCTTACCCGCATGGCAAAAGGAGGCGCTGGAGATGCATCACTCTCTCTTCTTGAAGTCCAACGCTGTGGAGAACGCAGGCAGTCGACAAGTGGCACAGCGATGAACTCTTCTCTCTTTCTTTTTTTCTTTTTTTCTTTCTCCCTAGAGAGTACCGCTACCTCGAGTACCATGGTTCCTCTGTTGAGCTTCTTCGTGTCGTCTCGTGTCGTCACTGGAACCACGGCTACGTATTTCTAATCAACCCTTCTCGTCCTAGGGCGTGGGAAGCGGACGAATGCCAGTAGCCAGTGCCGGTGCCGAGAAGAATCAACTCGATCCTTTGTTCCCCCATTGCCTGTGCACGTTGGATGAGTGCAGTGGACCTCTAGTATTCCTCGTTCTAGTATTCCTCGTGCTGGACGGGCAATTACTTGCACATCACCGCATCCCATCCCATCCTTACCGTAGTCTGCCCCCCAAGTCAGACTCGGGCCATCACAATGCCGCCGTACAATGCCTCCGACCCAACCTCTTTTCCCGATCCAATCAATCTGTCCCACCACATCTCCCGTAGCACCAAAGCAAGAGAAGCCTCCCAGGTCAAGAAGTTCTACAAGTACTTCCAGATCCCCGGCATCGCCCAGCTGGCCGGAGGTTCGTGTTGGGCACCCGAGGACAGCATGTCGTGAAGCTTACCCCCCCTGCCAGGCCTGCCAAACGACCACTACTTCCCCTATGACACGCTCGAGGCCAAAGTCGCACGCCCCAACCGATGGCAACCCACGCCCAACCAGCCCGTGCAGCCGCCTGCAGAGGAGCCCCCGTCCACCCACTCGGCCAACGTCTCCCTCTCCAAGAACAAAGACAAAGAGAGCAAGCACCCGCCGTCGTCGCGCCTCGTGGTGCCCAAGAACTCCAGCGTCCCAGATCCGCTTCGCATGATTGACCTCAAGTCGGCCCTACAGTACGGTCAAGCGCAAGGGTACCCGGCCCTGTATGCGTGCATCCGCCAGTTCACAAGGAACAACCTGCACCCCGTCGTCCCCTACAAGGACGGACCAGAGATCATCCTCACCTGTGGCTCGACAGACGGTCTCTCCAAGACACTACAAGCCCTCAGCAACGAGTGGTCTGCCGAGCATGATCCCGTCGAGGAGAGGCCCGCTCTGTTATGCGAAAAGTACTGTTACATGAACGCGATCCAGACCGCCACGCCACGAGGCTTCAACGTGGCCCCTGTAGAGATGGACGACCAAGGCATGCTTGCCTCCGGCCCAGGCGGACTACAAGACGTCTTGGAGAATTGGGATACATCGCGGGGTCGCCGCCCACACCTCATGTACACCGTCACCATCGGGCAGAATCCCACCTCGGGCACCTTGTCCGTGGCGCGGCGAAGGGAACTATACGCTCTTTGCGTACAGTACGACGTCATCATCGTCGAAGATGATCCATATTGGTACCTGCAATACCCATCGTCCGCACGCGCCGACCGCACGCCTCCTCCACGCCCCGCCAAGTCCTCGGGCTTCGCATTCCTCGACGGCCTCATCCCATCATACCTCAGTATCGACTACCAAGGTCGTGTCGTCCGCCTTGATACCTTCTCCAAGACCGTCGCGCCAGGCTGTCGTCTTGGTTGGCTGACCGCACAACCAGCCCTCATAGAGCGCATCACACGCATAACAGAGACATCCACCCAGCAACCCTCTGGCTTCGTGCAGTCGATGATCGCCGAGCTCATCATCGGCCCACAGGACGCCAAAGATCCGGGACGAGGCGGCGCGGCAGACGGAAGTGGCTGGAAAGTCGATGGCTGGGTACGTTGGCTCGAGGGTCTGCGCGGCAACTACGAGCGCAGAATGCAGGTCATGTGTGACGTGCTCGACGCCGGCAAAGAACTCGTCAAGGCAGGACGCCGCAAGTCGCTCACCGAAGTCGTCGAGGAAGATGGCTGGGCCGTGGTGGAGAAGACGCACATGTACTCGTTCGTTCGACCGGTGGGTGGCATGTTTGTCTGGGTTCGCTTCGACTTCAGGTCGCATCCGCTTGCCAGGCAGGTCCCTGCCGCCCGGCTCTCACAAGCGCTGTGGGTGTTTTGGACGCAGAAGCCGTATCTCTGTCTTGTCGCTCCCGGTAGCATGTTTGCGGCGACGCAGGAGATTCGGGACAAGGACAGCTTCAGCTGTTTTAGATTGTGCTTTGCAGCCTGTCCGACGGAGGATGTCGAGGACATTAGTAAGCGGTTCGCAGAGGGCGCGCAGGCCTTTTGGCGTATCAAGAAGAAGGAGAAGATGGACAAGTTGTTGGAGGAGGATGGGGTGGCTGGCCTGGATCATGTTGCGGGCATGGCGGTGTTGACGGGCATGTGCTAGATGTGCAACGCATGTATGACTCTACTTGGGCGGGTGGATTCTGCAATTGGGTGAAGAGTCAGGGGTGGTGGAGGAGTAGATTCTTGGGGCGTATATCGAGGAGATGAAAGAACAGATGAGGTTATGGGGTACGAAATATTTTCTGTTGAAGACCATTTTGACCCTATTTCAGCATGATCAAACATGGAGACGGAACATATGATCCAGTCACTCCATCACACCATCACCCAGTCCCATCATTCCCACCACATTCTCCCATCCCAAACTCCACCTTCCCCCTCTCCTTCCCCGCAAACTACCAACCCCCCCCCCCCTTCCCTAAGCCTTTTGATTCAAATTATCAAGCGGCGCCTCATGCTTCACCTCGTCCCAAATCCGCTCAATCCCCTCCACCGCCTCCGCACTCAACCTCCCCTTTTGAATCCCCCGCGCCGTCTGCTCAACCTGCGCCACCCTACTCGTCCCAAAAATCACCCCATCCTCCTCCCCCCTCAACGCACTATGATGCGCAACCCACCGATACGCCAACTCCGCCTTACTCACCCCCTCCTTGTCCGCAATCTTATTCCAATCCACAAGCGCCTGTCGCAGCGCAGGCCGATCGTACATGGTCTTGTATAAGCCGCCAATCACGTTTTGGTTGAAGCGGCCGGCGCCCGCGTCCAGCTCGGCTGCCGTTTTTGTGAGGAAGCCGCCGGCGAGGGGGGAGTAGGCGTAAAAGGACATGTTTAGCTTGCGTAGGAGGGGGAAGAGGGAGGATTCTAGGTGGCGCGCAACCGGGTTGTAATTCCCCTGATAGACCTCTGGCACCGGGTATCCCTTTTCCTTGGCAATGTCGTACACCTCCTGGACCTGGGCGGGGGAGAAGTTTGACAGCCCGAAGCGGGTGAAGAGACCGTCTTGGTGGACTTTGTGGATCCCGGCGAGGCTGTCTGCGAGCGAGCATGTCGGGTCTGGCGCGTGGAGGTAGAGAATGTCAAATTTGGGTATGCCCACGCGGTTCAGCGAGTCTTGCACATCTTTGATCACCGAGTCTTTGCTCAAGTTGCCGGGGGCGAAGCCACCGGGCAGCTTGGTGTCGATTGTGAAGCTGGTGCGCTTGTCGAGGGCGCCAATGGCGACTTCGGAGCCTGGATACAGGCGTGCGGTGTCCAGGTTTGTGACGTTGTTTTCCAAGAGGATGTTGAGGATTTCGGCGCGCTCTTCCTGCGTTCTGAAGCTGCCTTGGTCCGAGAGGCCTGCGCAGCCAAAGATTGTCTTCACCATCGTTCAGCGCTGTTTGGGGTTTGGGAAGGGGATGAGGGAACCGGAAAGTGATGCAAGACACGATCTATAACGTCGTCTATGCGTTTATCGTCAAGGATGCAAAAGAGACGGAAGACGATAAATTGAGCCTGTGCCTAGTAAATTGCAGGATGTTCGACTTATGTATCGCCTGGTCCAGCTCCCATCATGACGCCATCCACGTCTTTAGGCACACCGGGTATGAAAGGCCACCAATTTCCAACTACCAGCCCCACTACCGTACCGGTATTCCCAAGCCACGGCGATTGCCCCTCTCGGCACCTGTGAGACTCGATTATGATGCCGGCGGGGTAATACATACCTCCATGCCGATTCCGCCCTCGACACTTGAGGCTTCGGTCTACCAGCGAAGCTCGGTTATAGCTCAAAGGCACTAGGAACAGGAACTGCAAATCCGCGGTCGTGTTTGATTGGTCCGGGAGAATAGTAAACACTGTTTCAGTTGAAAGAAGGGGCAATGAATAGCAAGTCTAATAACGTCGACTACATGATTGTACTTCACTTTCTGTCCAGTCTTCGCTCTCATATCGAAACGTACGAGCCAACTCTCAGTAGTAATGATCCTACTAGAACAATATGCAGACAGGTTGCTGACGCCCGTGGAAACGATATCCAACGCTTACTGTATGCATGCATATATGCACTCTCCAATACAACCTCCACAACCCGCTCAACAATGCCGATATGCCTCACAGAAGGCTCGCTATGCTTAAAGATAGGCAATCCTTGGTAACGGCTTGTTCTTCACGTCGTCGAATCTGCTCTTCTTCACTATCAGCGCCCCAGATGATGTACTACCACGCAGTCGTATATCCTCAGGCATCTTGCTCAGCATTACCGCTGCTGCCTGTGCAGGATCAACCGCCCCTGTAGTTGCATCTGCATGCCGTCTCATAGCGCCATCGGACCAGGAGCGTTGCGTTGGAGAGGTCTCATCTGCCGGGGATGCTGCGTCAAGTGCTCGCCCGTATACGTCGCTGAATGAAATTTCCTCGTCTAAAGGACTAACGTCGGGACTGAAGTTCCTCAGGAAACCTGCTGATGTAGACCGACGCAATCGGAATGGCTTGTTTGACTCGAATTCTGCTTTACTTTGGGCTCGGAGATTTGTTTGATCTGCTAGCTGGGGCTTCCAGCCCATGGCCATTCGACTGGGCTGGCTAGGATGGTCAGCACCACCTGGAGCATCTGAAGCTGGGGCGCTGCATGAGCGCACGGTTTTCCCGAGGCTTGTGGTACTACTCTCGGTCCTGCCTGCGCTATGCTGAGCAGTATTCGCGATTTCGGGAACCGACTTATTGCAAACCGCGCCGCCCTCTGTTGAACTCAGACTGTAGAGCCTGTCAGATCCAATCGAGCCACTTCTTGAACTCCATCCTACACTGCCTGCTGGTGTGACAGAACTCAAACGTCGCGGCCGTGTAAGTGAGATGGTCGATCTCGCATACTGTTTGCGATGAGCAGAGCCTACGCCGGGCAGGTGTTGATGAGAGCGCGATACGAGGCCTATTGAGGACTGAGGTGGGTGAACAGCGCGTATCGTGGACGCCGAGAACTCCGCCGGTACTATCGAGGATGCAATGCTTGAACTCCGACTGCGTCCGGAAAGACGAGGAGGGCGTGTCAGGGAGTGTTGAGATGCTAAAGAGTAGGGTAAGTGTGAGAAGGTGCCCACCGGTTGCAGTGGTGACTGGGTTGCATAGGCAGACGGAATAGGAGGTGGGAGAGAGTCTGAAGTGAAGATGCCCAACCCGAGTGATCGGACCGGCGACGGAGTATGGATTGTTGAGTCTGGTAGCCGATAGTTCCAATCTATCGTATCAACACATGCATCTGAGAGATTGTATTCAAATGTTCTGAATGTTGACACCGAAGGACCACTGCCAAGTGGGATTTTCTCGGACGCAATAGAAGTACGTCTCATAGGAGATGACTTGTGGGAGTCTGGAAACGAATGATGGAATCGCTGAAACCCATGCTTGAATATGTGTGCTTCGAAGGGGCGTCTGACTGTGGCTAAAACCCCGAAGAGAATGAATGATGCAACTCTTTGTTTACCTAGTCAGCCGTGGAAATTTTGCAAGGTCCAGGAAACTCACAATGCGATTACAGCAAAGGCAATGCCCACTCGGCTCACGTGGCATCTTGGCCCGTACTCCCAGGTCTGTAGCCCTGGTGGTCCTGACTGCTCACATATCGGCCTTCGCGCTACGATAATCATGTTCCATCCGGTGGTCAGAAGCCAAAGAGCGCATAATGCGACGACCATGCGTACGGCTACATAAGTAGTCTCTTTGATAGTAGACACACGGCTTTGATTCAGAGACCATTCCCTCTGCTTGAACGAGAAGACTGTGTGAACGATAGTGTAGAATATCGAGGCAAGAGCCTACACCATTAGTCGACGTCCCAGCTGTCTCTGGGTGATGCTCACTGATGTTGAAGTCAACACCACTGGCGCGATGTTTGTTATATCGTTGGGGTCAGATGCGACCTGATATACAGAGGAGGCAAGGCAAATCACCGAGCTCCAAAGCAAAGCATTGAGTAGAGTCGTGATGGTGACCAGTGTAAGGAGTCGACGGGGAAACCTTATGTTGGGGTCGATGACCGTTGGCTTGTCTCCAGACACAGTGTATGGTGAATTAGGCCCGCTGCTGGTAGGGTTCGACGCAGCCATTCAGCCGTGTGAAGTTTCACCCCACCTTATTGCGTACTCAATGGGCTCGCAGATGCTTGAATGGAGCTCCAGAGGTGTAAATTGTCTGGACGATACGATGGTGACCAGAACATCTGTTAATCAGTGATCAAACGCAAGGCGACCGTTTCTGTGCTATACGAAGAATAAATTATGAATTAGGCTGGGTGAAGAGCGTGAAAGTTGAACAGAGTTTGAAGATTTCCTCCTGCGCCTGAACTCCCCAAACCTGTTGCGTCTCAGAAGCATCCCCACTGCTGGTCCATGCTAGAAACATTCCATTGACCTATCCTAAGTCTTTTTGGGATAGATTAGGGAGAATGGGCACTTTGTGCGATGTGGATCGTGAGGAATGCTGTTGTTGGGTCAACTCGTTGGCCAGCCCTGTAGCTTCAATATAGACACTGATGTTGATAGTGTCGTGTCTGGGACGCTACGTCCGAAGACTTTTCTCTGATCAGATCACGGGCGTCGTGATTCCCATTCATCATGAGCTTGAGTTTCTTGTCTCGTGCGGTGAATGGATGCTACTCCCGAAACGGGTAGCGTCTTGCTGCCAGGGATGATTCTCCCATAATCCCTGCGCCGCTGTGCTTCTATACTAGTAACCCTGGCAGCCTAAATACGAGCGATTACGCACACTTGGGAATTGGCAAAGATTCGCATGGCTATGCGAGCAAATGCATCTGGAGTGATACTGTCAGCCATCCGGAGAAGAGATTGCGTCCTTATGCAACCGCCTACGGCGATCTTCAGAGTATGAGCAGGAGAATGAGGAGTAGTATGAGGACGAATATGAGGACTGCAATGCAGCAACTAGACCATGAGTCTGTGAGATTGCGTTATTAGCAGACTGTATTCGACAGATTGTTATCCTGAGCTCACCTTCGTTCTGCTCAATGACCCGACCAACTCTCTTGAGACCGATCTGTAGCTTACCGCCAACCCGGTCTGCCACGGTGTCGACGTCTTTCAATAGCTCGCTCTGCTCTTCGAGCTCTCGTCCCATGTCATCAGCCTGCTGTCGCAAGTTGCCCACGGTGCGGAAGACGCCATCCAGGGCTTCGTCTTGCTCATGCATCATCTCCATTTGCCGCTCCTGCTCAAAGGCCGCATAGTTATCTTCGTCCTCGAACGAGTCTGGATCAGGCAGAACATCGCCATTTGCTACGCCTTTGCCCTTGTTCGCATGTTTGACCGTCTGCTGCAGCTCTTGGCGCATCTTCTCAATCTCGTTGCCGACATCTTTAACAAGCCTTCGACGGCGTTCGACTTCATCGATTTCTAAACCGAATTTGTATGGGTCCACTTCGACTGCTTTGACGCTCGCCACGAGATCCTCAACGTCTTGGCTGATCTCTTGGAGTGTCTGTTCCAGTTCGCCGCGGGCTTCTCGGAGTTCGGGACTGTTGGCAGAGGAGGCCGAAGACCGGATGCGAAGATAGGACTGGAACAGTGGCCTCGAAGTGTCAAGAGCAGCCAGGACGTCACTAGGGGGGCATGTGTCAGTAACGATGGCTACTTGCAGATCTCATGTACCTGGCGGGAACAGCGGAAGACCATACGCCTGCACCTGAAGGAACGGGTCCTCGTCGTTTTGTGGGAAAGCCATGTTTGATCCCGTGACACACGTTCAGCACCTCACTGCATGTGCGACTCTAGGTGGAATTCTCAAGACGCGAGGACGCGAATTGATTGTTGTCGTAAGCAGACGTCAGTTGGCCATGGCGCCATGGGTGGTGAGCCGCGGCGATCCCCACATTGTGCACGGGCCTACAACTTCCCAAAATTAGCCCACAATGAAACTCCAACAGACGACCACACACTTTCCTGATGGAGCGACAAATACAGAGAGAACCGAGCCACTCTGCAGTTCACGTAAGAGACGACGGATGAGACCATGGGCCCGGATACGCCGCTACCTCTACCCGCCGAGTTCAGCGACTGCGACGAATATGTCGAGTCACTGTTAAAATTTACCACTTCCTCATGGCTTCTTCAAACGCTCTGTGGAGGTGTTCACATCCTAGACTTCTACACAAGAGAGCCTGACCTTTACTCCACTATCCTGCCCCAATCTTGGCGAGACTGGTTCAAGACACGGGATATCATGGATATAATAGATTTGCTCATGAGAGAAGATCTTGGCCAATTCGATGATCAGATTGAAGGAAACCCCAAGGTTTGGCGAGTTGGGCCAATTCCTCCAGCAGATCTCCTAGATTATATAAAGCAAGTGCGCAAACACCTCTTGTGTCGGGACTTTCCACCTCCCAACTCCGCTCTCAAGCCGGAGAAGACTGCCATACCACGTCATATTGCCACTGGTATGAAAGTCAAGAAAGTCCACGAAGTCGATAACTTTGCGCGCTATATTGATCGGCTGAGTTCTGAGATAGCTGCATCCAGCAACAAGCCCATCACCCATCTGGTCGATTTCGGCTCCGGACAAAACTATCTTGGACGTGCGCTTGCTGCTACACCATACTCCAAGCACATTGTGGCTGTGGAGAGTGCTCAGCATAATATAGATGGAGCGAAAAATATGGATGTCATGGCCAAGCTTGTCGAAAAGCCATTGGTAATGAGGAATAAGAAAGAGTATCGAGCCAAGATGGGCAAAGGAAAGGGGAGCAAGAAGAATGAAGTCAATGGGATCTCATCCGAGCCAAAGGCAGAAGCACCAAGAGAGCATCCCCTTGAAACTCCAATCACTAGATCTGAGGGTGACAAGCATAGCAATTCGTCCGACGTCACTTCGTCACTGCCTCCAGAGAGCGCCACATGCGATGACGATGGTTGCACAGTATCAACACCTACTTCTGAAGGACTGATACCGCAAAACAAGGCGCCAAAATACAAACCAAAATACAGCAAGACACCCCATCTGACTGATACCACCGGCACAACGACAACCACTACACTCCAAGTCTACAACGAAGGCCAAGGATCTGTCCAGTACGTCCAACATGTAATCCGCAACGGCGACCTGACCCCCGTGATTGAGCAAGTCCTCGACCCCTCTTCCATTACCAAAGACAACGCGGCCACCACCTCTGCTGCCGTAGCCGAGCCTGCAGACCTCACCACCGTCCCAAAGCCCAGCAACGTAAACGCAATGGTCATGTCCTTGCACTCCTGCGGCAACCTCGTCCACTACGGCCTACGCTCCCTCCTTCTAAACCCCCACATCTCCGCCGTCGCAATGGTAGGCTGCTGCTACAATCTCCTGACCGAGCGTCTCGGCCCCCCAACCTACAAACTCCCCACCCTTCGCCCAAACCACCCCCGCCTAGCCGAAACCTCCAACACCTTTGACCCCAACGGCTTTCCCATGAGCGAAAAACTGGCAAACTACCCTCTCCCCCACTCACCCCTCTCCGCCGA